TTGTTAAAATATAGATCATTGGGCCCCACCACCAGCGTTTCTGATTCAGAGTTTTGTGGGTGGGCCTGAGAATTTGCATTTCTAGCAAGTTCCCAGGTGTCTTAGTTATCTAGTGCTGTTATAATAGAAATACCACAAGTGGATTACTTTAACAAACAGAAACTTATTCTCTCACAGTCTAGGAGGCTAGAAGTCCAAATTCAGGACACCAGCTCCAGGGGAATGCTTTCTTTTCTTTCTCTGTTGGCTCTGGGGGAAGGTCTTTGTCATCAATCTCCCCGTGGTCTCGGAGCTTCTCAGCACAGGGACCCCAGGTCCAAAGGATGCGCTCCACTCCTGGCACTTCTTTCGTGGTGACATGAGGTCCTTTTTCTCTCTCCTCACTTCTCCCTTTTGTATCTCAAAAGAGATTGACTCAAGATACAACCTAATCCTGTAGATTGAGTCCTGCCTCATTAACATTACTGCCTCTATTCCAGCCTTATTATCATTATAGAGGTTAGAATTTACAACACATGGGATAATCACATCAGATCACAAAATAGTGGACAACCACACAATACTGGGTATCATGACCTAGCCAAGTTGACACACATTTTCGGGGGACACAAGTCAGTCCATAACACCAGGTGATACTGATGCTGCTAGTCCAGGACCACACTTTGAAAACCACTGCTCTCTACTACATCCCTGCAGGTGGCTTATGCACGCTTTGTTTCAACACTTCTAATGAGATGAGTTGTAAAAGCTGCCCATACCACTAGACATCTTTCTTAGAATTTACTGTTGCTGCACTGGACAGTGCTTACCAGTAACTTCTCTCCCTGCTCCTAATTCTTCAAGCTGGAATTACTCTGAAAACACCTAATTTCCATAAAATTCCTACACAAAACAGTAATTTACCCTAATGAAAATAACAGTCAAGAGTCTGTTTGGAAAATAATATTGTTATGTTCCATGCTAGGAAATACTTGTTCAATCTGTTCTGCTATTCAACTCCCAACAAATCCAAAATTAAAAAAAAAAAAGAAATTGGAATGTACATAGATTAAAGTGCATAGATCTTATGTGAATAGCTTGATGAATTTATACATATGTATATACCCATACAGATCAAGACACAGACTATTTTCACCACCTCCAAAGGATCCCTCATACTCTTTCCCAGTCAGTACTCACCCCCAAAGGTAGCCACCATTCTGCTTCAGTTGCCATGAATAAGTTGTGCTTGTTTTTGAACTTTATGTAAATGGAAGCCTAGAGTACACTCTTTTGTATCTGCTATTTTTCGCTCAACATGACTGAGATTCAACCGTGTTTTTGTATGTAGCAATAGTTCTTTATTTTCCATTGCCATGTAGTACCCAAATTTGACTTGTTTGATGGTTTTACCTTGAATTCCCTAGCCTTCTATTTTGTATATAGTTAAGATTGATAATAACATTAGCTAATATTGATGTAAAAATGGTATGGCAGCAGTGTCAAACCTCCTTATACTTCACAAGGGGAAAGGAGAATCAAGATTAACAGCCCAAGACTGATTGCTGTGAGATGGAGGTCAGACATACCTTCACCCTCCAATCTTTTTACTATTTTGACACCAGCTGTCTCTCCCATGGCACTCTCTTCTTCTCTGCTGGGTTCGTTAATTCGTTGCAGTGGCGACAGAGAACTCACAGACTATACTCACAGTTATGGGGTTTATTAGGGAAGTAACAGGTTACAATTTAGGATCAGGAACGACTCAGGGTACAGTTCTTCAGTCAGGCAGCCTCTTGGCCATACCTGCAGGCAGGCCTCTCTCTGGCCCTCAGCCCAACGACCCCTCAGCCCAGCCTCTGCGTTGCTCAGGCAGGTGTTAACAAAGCTCTTTAGCTCTCCCAGTAAGTGCCCTGAAGCACCCTACTCCACCAGGGAGCCTACTGCCTGAAGGCATTCAGCTCTCTTGCTCCATGGGTTGGGATACCCACTGTAACCACCTTGCTCAGTGGGCTGGGAAGCCCACTGTGCCCTCTTGTGCCAGTCTCCTGGTTCTGATGCTGCTGTTTCTCTGCTGCCACTTCTGTCTTTTGTCATCTCCAGTGTTACAGCTCTCTGTCTATATCTCCTGGGCCTAGGAGGTTCTCAGGGCAGGGACCCAGGGTCCAAAGGACACACTCTGCTCCTGTCTTTTTTTCTTGGTGGTAGTGGGGTCCCTCCCATCCATCTCTGGGATGGCTCATTTTAAGCCTAGTGGGATGGAAAAACCGACCAATCTCCTTGTTAGGGTTTCATACACCCTATTTGCATTATTAGCAAGCTGTCCAATCCCCTTGGTAGACAACAAACACTTTATTTGCATAGTCCCACCCAATCATTTGGTAGGAGTTACAAGACCATGGCTAGAAAGGCCATATAAAAGTGATCCATCACAAGGCAATTGATAATAATATAGTTATAATATTGTAGTTAGCATCACCTGATCTTTTCAATAGTGTGAGCTAGGTACTACCGTTAATCCATTTTACAGATGAGATATTTGAGGCTCAGTAACTTGCCCAAGATCTCACAGCCAATAAGAGATAGAGCCATATTTGAATACAGGTCCTTCTGACTCATAGTCCTGAGTTCTTAGCTGCTGTATTATCTTGCCTCTCTTTCTTGGTGCTTTACTAATAATCATCAATGAGAAATTGAGTCCAGAGAGCGTGCACTTTCCTTTGATTTCAAGGACCTTTCCATTTTCAGCCTTTCCTCTCCTCTTCCTCCCCTCTAATGGTTTTAAGGCATTTTCAGCTGTGCTGGTGAACTGGACGGTGACATGTGTCAGTGTGCCTTCTCAATGTCCCAACTCCTTCTTCCAATGAGCAGATCTGTTGGATGCATGCTCTCTTTTCTACAACTGTCTTTCTACAAGAATAAACTTTCCTATTTGCTAGCTCTCTGATTACTTCCCAAATTCCTGCCCTTGATAAGTGCAAAAATAGAAGAATCACTTCTGCCCTGTGATTCCTGTTAAGGTTACACCTAAATTGTCTCTGAAAAATAATTGTCTGTTCTGTCAAAGAAAAAGTTTAAACTCCCTTTGACTTTAGTGTCTGATAAGCCCTGAGCAGAAGCAGTGCTTGTAGTTTCAAGTACAAATTACTCTGACCATTTCCTTTTTTATTCTGCTATTTGGTGATAGAAAATTGCTGGTTAGCCTACTCCGTGGTATCTACTTAAGTGGACTTAAAAGATAATCAGATGCTTTGCAGCAGGTTTAAGCCTGCCTTTGATTCAGTATCTAGATAAAAGCCTCCACATATACTGGTGATTAAGAATTCTTATTTTTATTTTCATATTCTTCATGGTACATGCAGATCTGAAAAATTTGGATTTCTGCTGCTAAGTACGTAGATTTTGTGATGTTTGGAATTAGAAATGTGAGTAATCTGCTAAATAATTCTCTGTGTGATCGAACAGGAAATGAAGCTCACGAGTAAAAACTGGAATGCTCTTTGTTTAATCTGTCTTCTCACTATTTTTTCACAAATTACATTGTATCTGTTCATCTTTCTTTAATTCTAATTTATATCCAAAGGTTCATGCTTGCAGAAAACTTTGGGAAATGTTTTTTTTAAAAGGAAGACAAACTTTTTGGATAAACGGTATGTTAGGCAACCAAATGATTGATGAGGGAAAGGTTTCCTTTATTGAAGAATTTAAAATGGATAGGATGATAGAATTAGAAATCGCCATTCTGTAATCTTAATGAAGTAATAGATCTAGACTAGCATCATCAGCGATTGCTAAAGTGTCAAGTGAAAGATAGATGGGAAACTCTATAATGAGGGATCAGGCTGGCAACACCTGAACCCACGATCAATCTTACCGGCACTAACAGGAAACAACTTCTTATGTGATGAGGTAGAAAGCACTCAGCATTACCTATGAAGCATTCTTGCCAGAAGAACTGAACCTGAATCTAATCAAGCCTCTTAGCTCTACCTACCAGAACACAAGGAAACAGGGGCTTGAGCAGTGCTTCTCAACCTTGGAGGAGCCCTGGTGGTGCAGGGGTTAAATGCTTGGCTGTGAACTCAAAGGTCAGTAGCTTGAATCCACCAGTCACTCCCTGGGTGAAAGATGTGGCAGTCTGCTTTCATAAAGATTACAGCCTTGGAAATCCTATGGGGCAGTCCTACTTTGTCCTGTAGGGTCGCTATGAGTTGGAATCAACTCCAGGGCAGTGGGTTTGGTTTTGGCCAAGGCTTTAGTATTTTTGCGTAGCTCCCCCAGATGTTACAATGTGAGTCAAGGGTGATAACCACTGGAATAGAAGAACAGGTTAAAGGGCATCACGAGGAAACAATCACAAAATGCAGAATGTGAGAAATTCCAGAGGACAAATGACCAGATTTCCACAATATATACTATGTAACATTAGAAAAGAAGTGGAGGGAGGGGACACTGCTAGAGATTAAAATGGATTTAAGAGACATATAAACTAAATGTGATGTGTCCACCTTGTATTGATCCTGATTTCACCAAATCAACTGTATCAAGACGTTTTTTTAGAGAATCAGGGAAATTTAAATACAGACTGAATGTTAGCAAGTATTAAGTCATTGAATATTAATGTTTTTACCTGTGAGCATGGTTTTGTGGTTATGTTTCAAAAAGTTCTTACAGTTAAAGATATATACTGAAGTATTTATGGATGAAATATGATGCCTGGGATTTGTGTTAAAATATTCTAGCAAGAAATGGTGAAGGGATAGATACAACATTAAAAAAAATAGTTGTTTTAAAAGTTTTCATAAGAAAAGGTTAAAAAGGAGGCATGAAAGTAAAATATATGATAACATGTCTCTTGCATTGTGATACACTGTTAATAGAGTCTTGGAAGTTCATGTGAAATACAAAGCTGAAATAAAATTAAGTTTAACCCTCTGTACCCATGCAAAAGCAGTCCTTATTTCTTTTCAGAAAAAAAATTATATATTTAAGTATTAATTGTGTGTATATCTTATTTGCAGATGATTCGGGGGCTCCTCCTTCTACTGTTATCAACCAAAATGAAACTTCTGCCAAAGTCATTTTTAAGCCTAGTGTGATACAACAAGCCAGGATTGCCCAGAATGGCATTTTGGGAGATTTCATCATTAGATATGATGTCAATAGGGAACAGAGCATTGGGGACATCCAGGTAATGGATTCATCATTGTTGTTTTCTTGATACTTTTAGTTGATGAGAACTGGGGATTCCAGTACTTACTTGAAGGAGAGAGAACTTTCTAGCTCTTAGAAAATCTGTTTTAACACAAAATATGTCTTCAGAGAGACTAGTGGTGCTTCCTTGCCAGAGGCTAATGGTAACTATTTCCTGCTTCAATAACCTGGAGAGTAAATAAAATCTATAATTTTCCTTGCAGTGTTTTAGGTGAAGTTAGAATTTTAGTTGCTTTTCACTTTTAATTAAAAGACACTACTCCGTGGCTCATTCCCCTTTATGTTTTATTGCTCTAGAGACACGGTGGGAATATTAATATGTAATAATGTGTGCTCAGAATATAGACGACCTTGTCTCAACTTGTAAGATTCTTGGTAAAAACGAGATAATGTAGGAAGCAGGGTTCTCAAGAGATAAGAGTCAGAGGGGATGGATAATTAAAATGGAATTAGTAGACCTATTCAATAAAATTTTAAGGGATGATTCCATCCTTATACAGGTTAAATTAGCAATTAGTTCCCTTGAAGGGATCAGGACCATAGATCATTTTGTTCTGGATATGGACTCTGAACCCTCGGTTCTGTATGGTGTCTGTGACTTTTCAAAGTTCCATGGACTATTCATTTTAGTTCCTTTTCCTCCCTTTCTGAGTACTACCATTCTTATGTTCCTTTTCCTCCACCAGGTTCTAAATGGCTATTTTGTGCACTACTTTGCCCCTAAAGACCTTCCTCCTTTACCCAAGAACGTGGTATTTGTGCTTGACAGCAGTGCGTCCATGGTGGGAACCAAACTCCGGCAGGTGAGTGAGTGCCAGCTGCCTGGTTCTTCCTCTCCCACTTCTGCCTGCAGCAATGATCTTTGTGAATGAAGTCCAGTTGATGCAAATATCATTATTTAACTTTTCTATCCAGTTGTTCCTGCTTACAGAGAACATTCCAGAACTGATTTACTTAAACCATTGACATAAACTATCATTTTATTTTAGCATGGTATTTTTAAGAAGGCAGAGGGGCATGCTATAGAAACACCTCAAAATAAAGGGGCCTAGCAGAGTGAATAATGTGTGCACACGGCAGTACACCAAAAGGGCCACTCACCAGCACCACTGTTGACGGAATAATTCTGTTCAGTGATGATGCCCTATGACACCAATGGAACAGAATCATTAACAGTCCCTTTGGCCTGTCCTTAGGATTAAGGGCTGTGAGAAGCATTAAGGGGACATCTAGGAAAAATTAAATTATCCTGAATATATAGTCGTCTCTCGGTACCCATGGGGGATTGGTTCCAGGACACCCCCCACCCCCACCCCACGCAGATACTAAAATCCACAGATGCTCAAGTCCCTTATATAAAATGGGACCACCCTGCCTGCACCTCTCATGCTAAGGCCCTGTTCCCTCCCATCTTCGGAGAGCAGCCCAGCCAACATGCCCCTGAGAAAGGAAGACTAAGAGGTGAAGGTCTGAGGACTCTGGGCAGCTGGGATCCCAAATAGGTGGTTATGACGAAGGCAGTGGCTGTAGCCAAGCCCAGGACTGCTGTTGACCACGCAGGTAACTGAAACCACAGAAAGGGAAACCACAGATACGGGAGAACTCCTATGAATCCATGGATGCGGAACCCACGGATACAGAGGGGAAACTGTACAACTATTTTTTCTTACAAACCACTGGAAAAGGCAATTTCTTATCTTACTTTTTTTAATGTTATTTCCAACTTACAAACCATAATGGAAAACAGAACTATTGGCCACCAGACCAACTAATATCCCTACATACATCAAAACTTAGATCTTCAGCTTTTCTTTTTTAACCCAATTCCTATTTTATCAATTAATAATGCAAATATATGGTTTAATAAGTCAAATAGTATCTAAAAGTTCATAAAGACCACTTATCCCACCTGTTTCCATCCCCAGTTCACATCCTAGAGCCCCACAGTTGAACCTAATTCTAACTGATAAGCTATAACAGATATTTTCCCTCAATTTATTATTTTGTAAATAGTTTCTTTGGCCATTTATATTTAAAAAATCATGAAGTAAAACCTGCTGCTCTTTTCTTCATGGGATCTAGGTTTCCTCTCCCCCCACCAAATATCAAAAAAATATATTGCAAAATGTGATATGAGGATAGTGTTTATTTTTTAAGAAGATAGCCAAATATAATTTCTAACTAATAACAGGGAGAAGATATCCTTACCCTGTAAACCACCTCCTTGTTCTTCAGCATCACATTCTTGTACAGAACTTAGCCTGCTGACTCCTCCATTTTTATTGCTTTTCCTACCTTTCTGAATCACTAACCTTCCATCTTTACTTTTCTAAAGAATACTCAGTATCCTTTTAAATATGGATCCACTGGTGAAGAATCTTCAGTTTTTGTTTGTCTGAAAATGATCTATTTCACTTTCATTCTTTAAGGATATTTCTTCTGGGTATGGAATTCTAGGTTGGTTGTTATTTTCTTTCAGTACATTGATGATGCATTGCACTGTTGCTGGCTTCCACCGTTGCTGTTAAAAAGTCAGTGATATTTTAACTGTTGTTCCTCTGAAGGTATTCTCTGTTTTATTGTTGACTGCTTTTAAGATTCTTCTCTTTGTCTTTAGTTTTCTATAGTCTTAATGTAATGATTCTAAGTGGGTTTCTTTGAATTTATTCTTCCTAAGTTTCCTAGGGCATCATGAATATGTGGATTCATGGAAAAATCCTCAGTCATTATCTTTGAAATTGTTTCTGTTCACTTTTCGTTCTGAAATTCCAGTGTTAGATCTTTTCTTCATATCCTCTATGTCTCTTGTGCTCTCTTCTGTATATTCCATCATTTGCCTTTCCATGCTTTTATTGCAAACCTGTCTTCCAGTTCACAAATTCTCTCTTCAGGTATGTCTAATCTGCTGTTAAACTCATCCATTTCAATTATATTTTTTTTTTCTAGAATTCCTATTTGAGTTCTTTTTTTTTCTTTCCCAAATTTGCTATATCACCTTTTAGGGTTTTTAGTTATTTTATGGAGTTTTAAATAATGTTTTTTTAATCTTTTTGAACATGGTTGTTTTAAAGTCTGTGTCTGATCATTTCAATCTCTGGAGCTTATCTGAGGGCTGTTTTTATTGTCTGTTGTTTTTTCTTCTTGTGTGACTGGTTATCTTTGATTGCATGATGGATATTATATTTGAAAATTTGATTGTAGAAATAATTTGAGACTAGGATAATGACATATTCCTCCAGAGAATGTTTTGGTTTGCAGTGAAAGTAATTTCAAAGGAAAAGATCAATAACTTTAGCTATGTAAAAATTTTAAAATTTTGTTGTCAATAAAAACATGATAAAAGTTAATAAAAGCCTGGAAAACTTTGTGCAGCAGCAAGACAGGAGTTTTATCTTTAATAGGAATTATAATTTAAGAAATGCACATTAAGAGAAATACTATTTTTATCTTCATAGTGTCAACCTTTAAATAGTGTAATCATTTATAATGACAAGCAATTTCTATAGTATGCATTTGGAGAATTCAGCAAAATTATGTATTGAAATTATTTCCCAGTAAATATTAAGAAGTACCAGAAAGATAGAATGCATGATCATTTCTACTGCATCTTCACTCAAAGGTCATTGGTTACCCAAAGGCTACAGCAGCTTGAAGAACCTGCTTCTTCAAGTGCCTGAGTCACTTCAGTGATTAACCTCAAGCCTTCATTCCAGGTCATAAGGGTCTGCTTCCACTTCTGATGAGACAACTACCCATAATCTCCTTACCTAATAATACCCAGAAAGACAAATCCTACCCCAAATTGTACAGAGAAAACCAGTCAACTAAATTAGGGCCTCTTAAACTTACCTTTAATAATAAAAATTAGTTGGGCACATCTTAAAAATATGGCATGGGGTATTTTCAACACACTAGACATTATGCAAAGGGTATTAAGTGAATTATTTTTAAAAAATACTTAATCCTTATAACAATTTGTTTACTACTCCCATTTTACTGGTGGAGAAACTAAGGCTTTTCAGAGATAGATATCTCAGCTAGTAAATGGTAGGGGCAGGCTTCAAACCTATGACTGATGGCAAAGCCCATGAGGCAAACCATGATGCTGTGGTGCCTCCGTACAGGGAGCAGTGTGGTGAGGCAGCATTGTTGTGTGCAACTAATGGAAATGCAAATGGATACAAGGGTTTTTATAGTTTTACATTTCAAGACCCAGTTGAGAAGGTTACATTTTGGAAGGCAGGGATTTCCTTGTGTTGAGCAAAAGCAATGTAATGACAGATGCCATACCATTTGTTATTTTCCTCCCTTCCTTCATTCCCGGATATTAAAATCCTATTCCTTGCTATGCTAGTCACTGGAAGTCTGGCATGCACCCTGCTGGCTTCTAAGCTATGGGATGGCCTCTTTCCAAGAGAACCACCCTGGACCAGCCAAACACGTGTCAGAAGCCTCTGAGACATCTCTAAAGCCCATTGCTGCCTTGAGTGGATTTGAAAACTGTTGACTATTTTAGCAGCTCTCAGCTTCTGTAAGGCCACGGCACTAAGTAAAAAGCCCCGGTGGCCCCTCCTAGAGTCTTGCATAAAATGCCATGTCCACTGGTGAAGAGGACAATTACCCCGAAGCACGGGTCTTTCATATTGTGTCAGCAGGCTTGGCAGCATCAGATATTTGTCACAGGTCCATTCACATTCCATTAAGAATCATTCAGGGACAGATGGAAGGGAGAGGGAAAAGGAGGACTCACTGCTTAGGGGACACGGAGCTTCTGTTAAAGGTGATAGGAGAATTTGGAAACGGATAATGGTAATGGTTGAACAACATGATAAACTTAACTAATACACATGACAAATGTTGAAATGGCAAATGATTTGTTACATATATATTTGCCACAATAGTAATAAAAAAGAATCATTCACTGTTATTCTGGATGTTCTGGGCTCCCCTCATCTTTGATGAACCTGAAATATTTTACTCTATTTATCACAGTGCAGAGCACATAGTTGGTGTTTAATAATTACTTGAACAATTGATTTATTAGGAGTCATAAAGATCATGCAACCTTGAAACATATAGCCAGTAAGGGAAGGAAGGCACTTGTGTCCAGGGAGCACCTAAAGCTGTGTGCTTCTGGCATTTTCTGGTTCTTGTCCTGATCACAGTGGGAATGTGAGCCTGGCACCAGGAGTCACCCAGCTCAGGAACAGTGATAGGACCCTGCAGGTTGCTGGCATAGGGCTTGGCTCTGTTTTCTCTCCGGTATGAATGTCTTGAGGCATAGCTCTGGTGCTGGGTCAGGCAAGATTCCTGCCTTCCAGTCTGAGCTAGTAAAACTCCTCAGTAAGAGTGGGAGCTGAGAAGAGCAACAAAAAGAATAAAACACAGCGATTAGGATGTTGTTAGGTGCTGTTGAGTCGATTTTGACTCATTGGCGACCCCAAGAGACAGAGAAGAACTGCCCCATAGGGTTTTCTAGGATGCATTCTTCATAGCAGCAGATTGCTAGGTCTTTTCTCCCATGGAGCTGCTGGATGGGTTCAAATTGCTGACTTTTCAGTTAGCAGCTGAACGCTTAGGATAGAGCTTTATTTTTTTCTTGTTGGTCACATGCTTAAAAGCATTGGCACTAGCAAACAAGCGTATCCTTGGGAAAATTTAGGATACTATATAATTGATTAACTACATTTTCCCTTGACCAAGGCCTACACTTTGTTCTTTTTCTCTTCCTTGTGAAATTAGATCTACTACTACTTTTGTCCACATACTAATGAGCTTGGCCAAGGGACCCTCTCTGGCAACC